GGGGTGCCGCCGTGGTTGCTTACGAGTTAACATCGACGACAAAAGTACCGTATTTAGTACTACAAAACAAACTGCTCAGCTCGTGGTCCTTTCGACCGAGCACAGGAGGGGCAGCCGGTCGGCCGGCGGCATCCTCACGGGAACAGGCTCATTATTCACACACATCCTGCTGCTGCTTTTGCCGAGAGAGAAGAACAGAATCGAAGGAAAGAAACCAAGGATAAGGAGGATCTACAAATGTACGGAATGTTGCAAGGAGGAATAGGGCTTCAAGGAGTCCCTACATGGACCAATGGATGCAGGGACAAAGCTGGAGGTCAAAATTAGGACCGAGGACACACTCTCCGACACGTAGACGAAGATTAGGAAGGTAGACGATGAGGAGCACAAGTTCACAAGTGAATGAGGCTCCGAGTGCGAAGATTGGGTTCATGTAGTCGCGGAATGTCCATTGTGCGAGAAGGAGAGGAAAGTGTACATGACTGAGCAGGGAAAAGTAGAAGGAAGATCCAGGGAGATATTTGAGACGTGGAACGGTAGCTTTACTGGTGCATACGAAAAATGAGGGGTTGAAAAGGCGGGAAGCAATATCGATAGGATGCAAAGATTAGTAGGGAAAGATTTTTGAGCCAACTTTGGCACAGCAGGGAGGAACGATTGGCCATCGGTGATCGGTCCTGTGGCAACAATGCTCCAACCTCTCGAGGACGCGCAGTCAATGGTCTAACGGCTAAGGCATACCAAACATAAGAGTACACCCCCCCCCGCCCTGATGTAGCATGGTGACTTGGTAGGATACAGCGCACCCTCCGTGCGACTCGCCGACTACCGCACGCCGCTTCGCGCTTGGTGATGTGCTACGATAGCCTGGTCGCGTGAAAAACCTAGCGTATTTCTCCGTCCTGGCTTTGTAAGGGTACGGATGCGAGGAGCTTCATGGTCTATAGTATAGCATGCACGGCTGTGAGGATGAGTTTTAGAAGCCGAAATCAAACACTATTTATACACTAGTCAGCGCTAACTAGCCAGTCTAATGGTTTGATTGCGGCTTCTAACTACCCCACGACTTTCTAGAAGCCGATATCGAAGCATTAGACTAGTCAGCGCTGACTGCTCTTATCTAATGGTTTGATTTCAGCTGTAAAGAGTACATCCCCCACCTGAGGTAGCCGACGACGGCCTCGTCCAGGAAGGGGAATCTCGCCTCCCTTCCGTGGTCGGCGATCGCGCGGTCGTCCCTCCCCAGGTTTCGAGTCCACAGCCTATCCTGGTCCTTCAGCAGCTCCTCGGCGAGGGCGGCGTCCCCTTTTTTGGCACACACGTCGTCGTCGTTGTTCTTAATCATCGTCACCACAAGGGCTGCTCGATATGTGGATGGGCATGAACACACCCCAACATCATCATGGTTTGAGCAACGTCGTGTTTTTTCCAGAGAGATGAGAGGGGAACCGCTAAATAGGAAGGCGTCGACGCCGAACGGTGCCTTTCAAAGAGGATACCCTAACAAAGAGTTACACTACCGAAAGGGTGCCCTTCCAGAAGGGTACACTACCAAAAGGGTATACTACGAAAAGGTACCCTACAAAGGGTACACTACCAAAAGGGCACCCTACCAAACCCTACCAAAAAAGGGTACCCGACAAACAAAAGGGTACACTAACACAAGGGTACCCTACCAAAGGGTAACCCTTTCAACAGGGCACACTTCCAGAAGGATACCCTACCAAAAGGGTTTTCCTACCTGAAGGGTACCCTACCAGAAGGGTACTCTTTTCAACAGGGCACACTTCCAGAAGGATACCCTACCAAAAGGGCATTCCTACCTAAAGGGTACCCTACCAGAAGGGTGCCCTACCAAAGGGCAGGGTACGGTACCTTACCAGAAGGGTACCCCTACCGAACGTGTACGCTACCAGAAGGGTACAGGGAGAAATCATAGGTGCCGGTGTATTTCTGTCCAGCCTCGCCCCTCGTTTTCTGCTTCTTTTCTTCAGCGCATTTTGCAAGGGCCGCGGGCATCGCACGAAGTTACGCCAATCACGGCAGTCGCCTCAGCCTCGTCTTCTTTGCCCACACTGTACTGCAAAGGTTCAAGACCTTCCATTTCACCTTGCACGAGGTCTGGGCCCTCTCCTCCTCTGAACACCTACAGACCAATGTATAGGGGACCCACGGGGGGGTCGACAAAAAAGGTTGATTTGCGCAGACTGGCACGTGTTCTCGAATTTCTGGGGGGGGGGAGGGATGCTCTCAAGTATTGCATGCCTTAGCGGTTAGACCATTGGCCACGAGTCGTCCCTCGAGAGGACGGAGCATTGTTCCGACAGGAGGATCGATCAACGATCGCCAATCGTTCCTTCCTACTTTGCCAGAGGGGCGTATGACCTACCCCCCCTGTTGAAGGCGTTGCGATGTCGGCTGTAACCGCCCATGAACTCGTCGGCCCCGATGCCCACCTTGGAAGGATAAGGAGGACCCACGGATGTGCCACAAGAAACGGACGGAACAGGACGTACACGGTTGGCGTCGTGGTTGTAAGGGGGGTGGAGTCCGCAAAGCGTGAATCTGGGATGTGCGCTGGCGACAGAGGGAAGGAGAGCACCGGGATAATACCCACGGCCCCCCCGCTCACCCACTCCGTGTGGGCGATAACTACTAAGGCAGAGGATAATTTTAGAAGCGCGTTTTCTTTCTCATGCCAAATGCAACTAACAGTAGTCGTGTGGGATCGTCCTCGGCAATTGTCCGGGATGCTGTACCCTTTATGAAGGAAATCTCCACAATCGTGGAACGATTTTGAAAAACACGCCATCGTAGGATGTTTTGTCTGGGGTCCATTTTATTCGATTTCTAGAATTGTGCACCCCTCTTTGGGTAGGTAGTTGACCGGTTACCCCGGAAGAAGGCCTCCGTGTCAGTTGGACCGGTACGAACATTAGAAGGTACCGGCCGGAGACCGGGACAGTAACACAACAACAACAACAACCACAACAAAATTGTCCTCCTCACCAGGAGAACCCTCGCGGCAGAGGTAACCCTGGTCGCCGACGTTCCCGGCCGCGGCTCCCCCGCAGCTGCTTCCGTCTCTCTCTCCCCTCGCTCTTCCCCTTTCCTACGAAATCGCCTGTGAACGGGGCACCACCTGACCGGCCGCTGCCGCCCCTGTCTTGCCCCGGCGTCCGGATCGAGACGGCGTTGATCGTGGGACGGTATGCATACCTCCGCCTGGGAAGGACCCGAGTTGTTCTCTCGTCGAAGCGGCGGTGACAACAGCAGCAGCGCCGCGAGCTCCTCCGCCCGAAATGGCGCCGACAGGTCCTCGTCGAAGCGCTCCAGCAGGTGGCCCTCGAGCGCCCGCCGCGCCTCCTCCTCCGCGTGGGCCTTGAACAGGCGTTGCCGCTCGGCGGCGCTTGTCGTCGCGTCCACCCCCTCGGAGGGAGGGAGCGCTTCCGCTGGCGTGGTCGCAGCCGTTGCTACCGCCGCCGTTGCCACCACCGCTGCCGCAGCCGTCACCGCCACCGTCGCCGTCTCTCCTTCGTGGTCGTTGGCGGTCATTGGCTCTCCCGCCGCCGCCGCCGCCGCCGCCGCCGCCGCCGCCGCCGCCGTCGCCGTCTCCTTTCGCTCGGTCGCCGTGTCTGGCGGGATTGTCTCCGCCGTAGCCGCAGCCGCCGCCGCGCGACCGATGGGAGTTCCAGGAAGGCCTCGTGCCCTCTCGAGGGGCGGGACCGGCCGCCGGGGGGCCGACGCAGCGGCGGCGGCGGCGGTTGCGGCGGTGGCGGCTTCGATGAGGCCCTGCGCCTTGAGGCAGCACCGGCTGCACGTGCCCAGCACGCAGCCCGGGAGGAGGAGTCGCCGGCAGCCGTCGACGGGGCACAGCTCGTCCCCGTTCTTGTTGACCTTGGTCTTGGCGCTGCCCGAGGCCATGGCCTCTGTGGCTCTACTTCTCGGGCAGCAGCTGCTGCTGCTGCTACTGCTACTGCCGCCGCCGTTCTGGCTAACGCCGGTTCCCGCCCCGGAGGAAGCGGCAGCAGCGGAAGCGGCAGTAGCAACACCAGGAGGAGAAGCAACGGCAACAGCAGCAGGAGCAGCTACGGCAGCAGGAGGAGGAGCTTCAGTAGCCGAAGCAGGGGGAGCGGCAGTGCTGCTTGCAGCGGTGACGGGGGACGGCCGCTCCACGCGTGACACCCCGTCCGCGGCTGCGGGGCCCCTAAACACCCCCACCACCGCTGCCAAAGGCGGCGAATCCCCGGGGGTTCCACAGATGGCACCGCCGCCGCCGCCGCCGCCTACCTTGGGGACCACCTTAAGCGCAGCAGCTGGCCCGGGTGCTTCACCGTCTGCTCCGGCGTTAACACCAGAATCGAGAGAGGGGGGCGGTGTCGACGGCGGCTGGACGAGGGGCTGGTAGAGCCACCCTTCCCCACGAGACGCAAACCAGAAGGCGGCCGCGATGTTAAAGTCCATCGTCGTGCTACACGGCTGTATGATACCGTTACGGTTTCCATGGGTGCAGACGAGTGGAGTGGCGGGAGGGGGGGGGGGGGGGG